ACACCATAAACATTTATCTTTATGCAAGAGCTGTGTTTTCCGGTTTATTCTGGGCTGCGTTTAAGATTGCGTTCCAAAATTCAACTCTGTTGACTCGAGTATCATTTTATTATTGGTCTAGTTTCCACCGAGGTTTTAATTCGGACCAGAATGTAAGAATCAACCAACTACAGTAGAGCATTCCCCTGTCGTTCAACTGTAACATGGGAATACTCGACTATATAGTTGATTGGTTCTTACATTTTGATCCGATTTAAACCCTCGATGGAGACTAGGCTATTATTGGTCACCAAATGTTGAATAAAGATAAAAGATACTCGGAGTTGAAAATCAAGTTTTAAAACGCATCCCTAGGATGCATTTTCGCTATAATATACGTGACGTAACTTATAGCTTAGAGTTATCTGGGCGTAATTCCTGAACGCAGCTCTGAAGAATTCTGCTGAATGCAAACTATATTCATTATTTTCTTAGGCTTATTTACGATCTGCAGAAAGATTTCTACGCATTTTGGAAGTGTCTGGGAAACGACTAATTAAGTTTATCTTGTCAACGAGGACCAGGGCCATTAATTACAAAAGACAAGTCAGAATTTCTACGCATTTCGCTCTTGTCTTGGCCCGCTTGGCTGAAAATTCCATTATTTCGTCGACAATCGCTATTAGAAGAAAAAGAAGTTCTACGCACTTCTATAAAATTGCTAAAGTCATAAGAAAAATAAGAGGACTTATTTATGCACCTGTCCGTACGATTGTTATTCACTGTGGAACGATTCTTAATCTAAAATGGCAAAATCTGAAATGAATAATGAGGTGTGTGAGGAGATGTATCAAAATGAAATACATATCATCTGTTGACATTCATTTTTACTAAGGAGGTACAATATTTATACTATTGATTTTTATAATATTTTCAGTTCATCCTTCTACGACATGCAGTTCGTCAGGCACGAGTTTGCATAGTCAATAAGCTCATCAAGGAAGCTAAACTCTTACGGGATAGACATGGAAATGAAGCCCAAAAGGAGAAGTGTAAAAGAAAAGCTGACAAGCTGGTTGATGAGGTTTATGCACTGAAGACAATTAAAGACGACGATATTTCAAAATTTGCTCTCTTAGATGAGAGAAGTCCGACTAAAATATTACAAGATCAGGCATCAAGTAGTAGTGTTCGCATAATGGCAAGGGTGACGAATTATAAAACTCTGAATAAAAGACTGACACAGTTTAAGGAGAGATTCCCAGACTATAAACATTTAACAGAGAAGAAGAAGACTACAAAATTAAAAGACAAGAATACTGTGAAAACTAGGAAAGCTAAAGAAAATAATTCTCAGAATAAGAGTTCAAAGAAACAAAAAATTGTCGCTGACAAAAGCATTGAACAATCCCAACATGACTCCGAAGATGAGGAAGCATGTAAGAAGGAATTATCTGAAGTAAGGAGTAATTCGCGCAAGCGCAAAAAGACATTGGCTGAAGATTGTACATCCTTGGAAAAACAAAAATCACTAAAACTTGGAAAAGATAATACATCAGAAACTACATCAGTCACAGATAAACAATCAAGTGTAATTAAATCATCAAGCATTACAAAAGAAGCAAAGGTGAAGAGGTTCACTGAGCTGTTGGAGGAACAAAAAACTAATCAAGATGTCGCACAAATGTCTATCGAAAGCCAAGATTCCGCAGGTACCTCGACTGAACAAGTAAAGGTGGTTGATGATTTCTTCATGACGGCGGATGGTCAAAATTATCAAGGGAGCACTGCTTCGACGTCGTACACAAAATCTCACAGACATAATACACGAGCCAATAAATCTCTCCAATTGAATGATCGAGTTAAAAAGCAAAGTGCAAATCGCAAAAACGATACAAACTTAAATAAAAAACCTCTGGGCAAACAATTTTTTTCTATGAAATCCAAAAAAATGACACCCAACAAGATTAATAACAGGACAAATAATAGTAACACAAATAGAAATACGATTGTTAAAAAAGATGACAAAACCGATTTACATCCTTCTTGGATAGCTAAGAAAAAAGAGCAGGAAATCATGAGTCAAGGATTTCAAGGCAAAAAAATTGTATTTACGGATTAGTCGAAATAATTTACTGTATGGAACAAGGAATTTACTTAATCAAAAACCTTTTGTAAAGTGCTTTTCAAACTTGCGATACATTCATCATATTGTTTTAACAAAAATGTATACATATGTACATTTATCTTCAAGTGTAATACATTTATTTAATGTAAATAGCATCATATGTTGTATCTTCTTTCCTAAATAATTTGTATATTTTTATTCAATAAAATGCAATTACATCATACATTTTATTCGTACATAACATAGTCTTCTATATACAAAATATATCGTAAATATATATTGTAATATATAT